TGATGGGAAATTGATTAAAAGATGGATTCGGTGTAGCGCGGGACACCATATGATGGTGCGCGCTAATCTTCAGCCGTAGGATGAAAGGAGCATAGGTGGATTGATCCGGTGTGGCGCGCATGTAGGAAAGATGATGCAGCCAACCAACCGGAGGACGCCGTGTCAGCAAGAAGCCATCAACGCGCGCGTGGGAGCGCGTGCGCGCGCGTGGCTGATGCCAGACGCGCGTGGAGGCGCGTGTGCGCGCGTGAGAGAGTGGAAAACATAGGGCTGCGCGTGGGGAAGATTAGGGCGGCGCGTGAAGGGCCCTGTCAGCTGCTGGAAATTACCGAAATACCCCTAGGGCCTGTTTTGTAAATTCCAGAACCTTAAACTTGGATTTTTAGGTACTTTGTTGGGATTTACGGGTTTAACGGGCCACAAAATTATTATTTTAATACGCGGTAATTATTCTTATGATCGATTAATCTTTTCTAAGCATTTATTGGCTCGTTTACAGTACGGATATTAATGTGATTTATTTAATGACATTGTTAAATATAAATAGTGTTATTATCTTATTAAATGGTATCAAACATTACTGTTAAATTAAATAATGCCATGGTTTAAATTATCCATGATATCTTATGGGATGTTTATACTGTTAAATGATATATAAACCATGATTATTATGCTGTGTGCATTTCAGGAAATAAATGGACTGTTTAATTATGTCACATTTATATTATATGGATGTGTTGCCATATAGAACCATGTGAGCTGGCTAATAAGTTTAGACTCATTTATACCTTATGCATTCGTTGCTATAGACAGATGTGTGGCTGTCGGGGTATGTGGTTTAATATTATTGGCATGTGTTGCCTAATTGACATGCTCAGTATGTTTAGTAATATTATTGGCATGTGTTGCCTAATTTATATGCTCAGTATATTCATCAGTACTTTGAGAGGTGTTATCACTGTGTAGTTCGTTATAGTCTGTGTTGTCAGTACCGTGCACCATGTATAATAGCTGATTTCCTGGGTAGGGAAAGGCGACACTTAACCACCTAGTGTGAGTCTAAGTGATCACCGTTTATTCTGGTTGAGGTCATGTTATACATTGGATAGTTCCCTTAGGATGTATACAGATATAGTACTCGTCCGATTCATAATGATTAATTTATTTGATTCTCTGATTTGGGTCATAGTAGAGAGAACTTGCTCGTGGGGTTGACCCACCATTGTTGTTATTTCAGGATACGGTCAGTACCCGTTCCAAGGTTGAGGTTAGCAGTGTGGGACCACCATCCGAACTCATCTACTCTTACGATCCAGTTCAAGGTAGAAGTTTTATGTATTACTTCAGTTTCAGTTTTTATTTACTTTTGACGTTGAACTCTTAGGTTTATATTTAGGGATCCTTGATATAGGATTTCCAAGTTGTAATGGAGTACTGTATTTAAATAAAGGATGGATGGATGTTGTATTATTTAGTGTTCCTTTCCTGTCTAAATTCTTTTATTATCATCATTTTGTATTCCATGCTTGTATATTGCCAATTGTTTTTGATATCCCTCGTTTTTCGTGTATAAGCCTGATTAACTTATGCGTGGAAAATGTTGGGGGTGTCACATATATCCATAAACATAAGGCAGTGACGGTGGTGAGCTGTCGTTAAGGATGAATCGCACTGGTGAATCAGATGATGATGATGAACTAGATACCTTTGATTTGGCTTGGTTAATTTCGTCTTCCGTTTTGGCGAGGGTCGTGAGGCTGCTTCGACATCGCCCTCATCAACTATGATGGCAGCTAAGTAGCCGTAGAAGGTCTCAACGTTCTTGTTGGACTCGACGACCACCACAATCTCACCTTTCGAGCGCTTGTCACATCGAGTGTGGATTTAATGGCCAAATTGGGTATTACTGTCGTGGGTTGTAGAGGTGAAGGTGGGTGGTGGCGGCAATGGTAAGTGGTAGGGAGTGGAGTTGTACAGAGAGAGATAAAGAAGGGGTGGGGCAGTGATGGTGGCAATGGTGGGTGGTGTTAGAGTGGCAAGAGAAGGAAGATAGAGAATGGAGAGAGGAGAAAGGAGAGAGAAGGGGTTGTGAATGGGTTGTGGAGTTGTGTATATATATATATATATATATGTATGTATCTCTATACCCCCAAATCTTTTGAGCACGACTTCGACGGTGGTTGCGGTAGAGGTGGCGCCGATACCACCACAATCTTCGCCACTAAGCGAGATTGATCTGAAGAAGCGCGCATGTTTATCTCCGTCTTTGGCAACGACGTTGAAACCTGATTTAATGTACTCAAATTTCCTACCTGATTCGGCAACCATATCCAAGGATTCTATTAATGGAAGCAATGACGGTGAGGAATTTAGTGCCAGAGAGAGCTAAAGATTTTGATGTGGAGTTGAAATAGATCTTTCCATAAACGAAATTGACTTCAGAGCAAGAGGCTTATTTCTTAGCAACGAAGACAATGTGTTACAATTGGATTTCATCAATCTCAGGAAATTCTTCAATCAGATCCGATGAAAGCTTAATCTTTGCAAAATCTGGGTTTAAGGGAAAGGCTGTGTGTTTGGTGGTGGGTTTGAGAGGTGATGACTATTCGTTTGTTGTGGGTTTGGCGGTGGGTTTGAGAAGCGATGTTTCGTTTGCCGTAAGTTTTCTGGTTTGTTCATATGCTAGGTTTTCTGTGATGGTGGTGGTTGTCTGGGTTTAGTATGTACAAAAGTGAGAGGGGGTGATATACTAAGGGCAAAAATGTTTTTTAAAAGTTATGATTTTTTATAGTTTAAATTAATAAAATTATTGAAGGGCAATATTGACTTTTCGCAATTTTTAGGGCTCGTTTGGATTCATTTTTTGACAAGGGGTGTCTTTGTCCAAAAAAGACTCAACTTATATATGGATGTCCTTATGGCAAACCTTAGGGGGGTTATCGGTGTACTTTACCCAATAATTTTCAAGATAGGATCACAAAATTAAAAATACGGTGTTGTGTCACTTCTATTCTTTTAACCCTTTTTCTTCTTCAATGTATTCACTTTTAACCTTCTTTCTTCCTTTTTTTTTTTTCTTCCCGGGTAAGTATCATTGAAAGACATTTTGCAAAGGCCTTTAAATGGAAGGAACTTTAGAATTGGGAAACTCCTCCAAACAGAACCTTAAATTTTGTTAGGAAGCTTGAAGATAAATTTTGGGTGTACATTATGTCTTAATTAAAATTAAAAAAGTGGACTTTAACAAGTGAATAAATATAAAATTTTCAATCTTGTTTATACTTTCAAATTACTAAAAAGAAGAAAAAAAAATCATATATAAAATTCAAAACATAACGAATTAATTCATATTCCTTATGTGAACTTCCATGATTGTATGACTCTTTGATTTTCTGTAATGAAATTCTAGCATGTTTGTCTTGGGAAAGAAAAAAAAAAATAGTATTCTGTAAGCATTTATATATATATTGACTTAGAACGAGGAAATTGGACATTTCCTAGGATTTGAAACCAAAAAAGTGACAAATTCAAAACTTAAAACAAAAACAGAAAATCGCTACTTGTTCCACAGGACATGAATGATGTGAAAATAGCCCCTTTTCAAACATAAAACATGTTTGAGCTAATCCAATTCTTTAATTTATTTTATTTTTATTTTTTCTCCATTTCAATTTGAAAATTGAATGAAGGTTGATTGGGTGTTTTCCCACCCCCAAATTAGGAGAGCTAAGCACTCTACCAATTAGACTTTTTGATGATAGAAGAATTGTATCATAAACATTTGTGTCACTCATTTGTCCCTTTTTAATTAGTGAGTGATACCACATCATTACTAAAAGCCGAACATTTAAAATATGCGTCTTCCTCACATCTTTATTTTTTATTAGTAGGTGATATCACATCATTAATACAACTCGAATATTTAAGTTTTTCTTGATTCTTGTGAAAGATGTTGGGGGTTAAAATGGAACATATTCAAGGGCAGTACAAAGTCAAGCATTTATTCTTCAGATTTGGAAAAGTTCACCCCCACTAGACACACTTTTTTACATTCTTCTGGTACAAATTTACATCGTAATGGCACCCAATTCCAACCACGTTACCTGCATTGCCTAGCTTCAAAGCTCTTGTCTCTTTATGAGTAATTATTCAAGCTTCATAGATAACCTCTGTACCAAGTTTAGCATATTTTACAATTCATTTTGAGCCTTAAATTACTTTAACTAAGTAGGCAATATATTGGTAGATTACTAAAAGCATTTTCATCCGAATCTTTAAATTTTATATGTCAAATTCTTTTGAGTACGACGTGACAAATTGATATATAAAATTTTGGCATATTTCTATGTAAGAACTATGCCTGATATGCCAAATTTATTAATATTTTTTTTATTTCTTAATTTATTAATATTTTGGCATAAACTGTATTTATTAATATTTTTTCATTTCTTAATTTATTAATATTTTGGCATATACTGTATTCATACATGTTTTACTGATATATGAGACCAATATATTAAAATAATAAGAATAATTCATTTGGTATACAACTTTTTCATATGCCAAATTTGACATAATTGATGCTATGTCAAATGTCAAGTAGGAATTTAACATATCGATTGGAGGAGTTCTTTATGCCAAAACTAGCTGTTGAAGGAGCCACCTAAAATTTGACATATCTCCTAAAAACCAAAGGCTCTTCCTGTGGGCTGACCCAAAAAATGGATTAGCACAAGAATTTCTTTTATTTACTATTCTACTTAATAAGTTGACTATTTGTTGCACAAAGCAAAAACAGTCCCCCAAAAACAAAAAAAAAAAAAGAAAAAAAGAAAAAAAAAGGTGTTGAACGTGTTTTGGATGCATAAATTGAGTGCTTTTTCAATGTTCAATTTCATTGTTTTAGCTCTTAAAAAACAGACAACAGCATACATAGGCACTCAGTAACAACTGCTAAAACTAGAAGGAGAGTACAAAGGAGACATTTCTGAGCCTCTGAATTGATCAAAAATGGGAATTTGAGATTTTAAGTAATGTATTATACCATGTGATTTCCAAGGGAGTGTAACACAGGAAAAAAAAAAAAATCAATGGATCTTTTATACTGAAAAATCGATGAAATGTACAATTTTTTCTGTACTGTGAACTGCTAAAATAGTGATCAGCGATTCGCTATACCCTCATTCAGTATCCCTTTATTCTTACTTAGAAAATGAGAGATTCTCCTTAGGAGAACTATCCCATATGTTTCATCTAACCTTTAAGTCTTCAATTGGACCTGCAAAATATATATATATATATATATATATATTCACATTTTAGCATTGTTGAAAATTTAATAACTTTATAAAACCTAGCTAGGAAGGTAGTATCTGAACCTGTGGTATCAGCCTATCAGGTTATGGCAGGTATTGTCACAAGGATATGGACAGTCGATAACCTTGGTCACCCTCCTCCCGAAATACCAATCACCAACTGCTTCTGCAATGGTCTGGAAGAAATTGTTCGGTTTTTAGTCACAGTAGTTTAAAAACTCTATAAAAAGAAAAAAGGAAAAAAACAGAGAAGGAAATTCAACCATATTGGAACACACTTGTTCATGCAGCTCCTGCAGTAACTAGTGACATTTCTGCTACATGGCATGCTTTGAATTTGTTAACCAAATAGGTTTAAAAACCAACTCCAAAACTTGGAGTTCTAAGTAAAAATCACAAATTATAAATGGCATTCTGAACTTATCACACCAGTCTGTTCCAGATTTCAGTTGTAAAGATGGCAGCAATTGGCTAATAGTTTTCTGAGCTCTCTAAGGAAGAACAATTTCAAATTGATTTTGGATCACGTTAAGAGCACAGAATGCTCTTTTGACAAGATCATATGTATTTTTGGAGTCCACTCAAATGGGTAATACCGGATAATGTTATCTTAAGGGAGCACACTTCGAAATGATGGCAATCCATTAACACTAATCTATATGTAACTAGGGATAGAGTTAGTTTATAAACCTTATTGTGCACTCTGGGCGAGTCAAGCGCGAACCAAGTGTCCTGTGACTCACTTTGGCAATGTGCAAAGCACGAATTTATAAACATCCCTCCTCTTTTTGAAAAATAGTAGAATAACTTCAATGCTGCAAGCATATGCTTCCTGAACCCTAACAGAGATCCAAGTCAACAAATCAATATAATGCATGGTAGTGAATTTCCTTCTTCTTATAGACACATATTTTCAATAAATTGGAGATGATCATGGAGCTTTAGAAACAAATTAATTTTAAAAAAGAAAATTATTTCTCGAAAGTACATAAAAAAATAACCGAAGTATTTGAACAGAGAAGTTTTATTTTGTTTGAAGAATGAAGGGATCAGAAAAAACCTTGCAAAATATATATCTGGTATGGATTACATGCTGATGGATTAAGACTGCAGTGGTTCCAATGTCCACGTAGATCAGCAGAAGGGGGCACCAATATATGATGAAACTGGTAAGATGGAAGGTTGTCTCATGTCATGGGACTACAAAGTGTATGTCATGGGACTACTTTAATAAAGGAAAAATCTTACTTGGTACACATCATATGCTGAGTTTAAGACGAAAAAAGGTGTTCTAATGTAAGTCAGTGCATACTGTGGGAAGAAGCACTGCACAAACACTCAATTGTCAGAACAATGCCATAAGAAAGTACGAAACCACGTATTCAAATGCCAAAGCAACAACAAATAGTAGCCAATTAATCCTAGAACTCATACTTGTTTTGGAAAATAACGGGAACTCATGCAGTTTCTATCCAGATTCCGGTCTACCCCCTGTAATGTCATATGATTATGCATTAATACAACATCTATGACTAAGAACATCAAATGTGGCAGAGATTTTATGGTGTTCAAGAGCTTCTAAGGGCACATAAGGTACTATTTCCCCAGCTTACATTAATGCAAAACACCATAAATAGGAAATGAAGAACAAAGGAAAAGAAAAATGAAAGACCTTAATTTATTAAAAAAAAAAAAAAAAAAAATTCCTTACACCTTCAATATTTACATGTGCAATAATTGTTTAAACATGAAATCTGTAATGCGTGGTCGGATGTAGCATAGAAATGAGAAACTATTTTTTAGAATAAACTAATTCAATGCTTTTTCTTTATGCTGAAAGGTGCACCTGTAGAGAAATCAGGTCTTCGTAGAAGGTTCTTATGGTGTTGTTCAAACTTATGTCTCTTCTGCAAGGGAGAAACCAAAATCTAACATTTAAAGGACAAAAAAAAAAAAAAAAAAAAAAAAAGAAAAAAAAAAAAAGAAAAAGAAAAAGAAAAAAAGCACAGCTTAACAATTTCATTTGAAGGGTTGAGGACTTACACGTCCAAGAAAAATCCACCATCACTCAAACATTTTACACTAGCATTGCTTGGTAGATAGCTGGTGAAGTTGTCACAGTGCAAGAAAGTTGCCAAACCCCCAGCGGAGCACCCCGAGAGCAAAGCCTAGACAACAAAGTCAATCACATGATAAGCAAACAACAATCTTGGATTAGATATACTTGTCTCTATGAATCTCTTAGTTTTCGTAATTAAAACTTCATGTAAACTTTCATCTGCGTCATGTATCCCACAAGCTAATGCCCACTACATCTTGAAATCGAGCTTCAAACTTCAAAATGGTTCCCTAGAAATATTTAGTGATAATCCAAAGGCCTAACCGTGGTGTTTTTAGTCTCAACAATGAACATCAGATCATAAATCTACTTAAAAAGAAATTCAAAAGCACCAAAAAATACAATTCCAATATGAATTTTTACATGAACTAGAAAACATATTTATGGTTAAGATCAAATTATTACATATCATGCGCGTATGTTATATGGGGTGAACTCCTGATATTCCTTTATATCAAAATCTAGGCAGAAATAAAATGCATGAAATAAATAGATTGAATACCTTTCTTGCACTGCCCAGACCTTTAGGCAGAAGATCAAGAATAATTGCTTGCCATATCCTTTGCCCTCTGAAGTAAAGCAATGATGTCTGTTGTTCATATCACATAGAAAGATGCTTAGGTATTAGAGGGCATAACAAATTACACAATTCGGCTATATCACTTCCTCACCAAGGGCTACAATTTCGAAAAGATTAACCTCTCCAAAAGAATTATTGTTCTTCTAAAAATAGGTCAAAATGTCCATTTTAATCATGATGGAATGCTGAACACATCATTGATTAATATAATTTTAATGAAGAGTTTGAATCTGCAAAAAATGATACAAAGTACTGAAGAAGTTCTGGTAAAATTTCCATTACACTGAGCCATATCGGTACAACATTGTGGTAAAGAATTTGCTACAAGCCTTGTATTTTTCTTACAAATAATGGTTAAAGGGCAAAAAAAAAAAAAAAAAAAAAACTCCAATGTATTCATAACTTAAAGCATCTCCCTTCATAAGATGCAAGTTAGTCTTGATATAAGGAAGTGAGGTTTGGGGTTTCATGGCGAAGAGGGCTACCCTATTGTGTAGCCCACGCCTTGGCGCGTAAAAAAGAAAGAAGAGAATCACTAAGTGTCACATTGTAGTGGAAGTCTAATGCAGCAAAGGGCCATATACGAAGAAGACTCCAGGATATAGCCATTGTGTCAAAAGTTTACCATGAAATTGAGAACCACTTCTTCCAGTTCTTATTCAAGTAGATTGAAGTACTGGACATAATAGGGTGGAAAAAGTTTTGGTTTTTTGGTAAAAGTTCAGCTGGGATTTTTTTATTTTTCATTTTTAAAAAATGGAAATTAGATAGTTACTGGAAGGTTAAAGCATTTAACTCCATTGCATAGCTGTGTCGATGCCTGAAGTCCGTTTAAGCTTCCAGTTTTCCATTACTCCCAATAATGAATGTTAAAGTCATACTAGTATTTCTCTTGTGATACTTCCCGTTATACCTATTAATCTGATCAAATCAGTGTCCGGCCTAAAAATTAGGTTCCATGACCAGACCACCTACAAGGAATGTTGATTACATTGTACTCGATAAATGAGATTTTAAGCGCGTAATTTGCTCGAACTTTTCTCCAAAATTATGAGAAAGTTTCCATTGTCTAAAGTTTTCAAAACCACAGATTAAATAATCAAACTTGGATGACTTATAGTGCATTAATCTGATACAAGGGACAAGTTACCCTGAGAGTCTAAAAATTATGATACGGCATAATTTTACTGATCATATGCATATGCTTTAGCAGAAAAACTTATGAATGCTCTTACTTTTGTCTTAAACTTCTAGGGTAATCCAAGTGTAAATCTAATGATGCACGGGTGTTTTAAGTCAAGAACTGTGATGGGTATTCAATAGTATAACAATTTCACAATTTTTATATCTTTTTTCTATTTTGGCAAGAATAAAGAGAGAAATAAGAAGGAAAAGAAGAAACTAAAGGCATGAATTCGGGGAAGATTGAGGAAATTTAGCTGAGCTGAACTGTAAAAACAAAAGAAATAGAAATAAAATGTAATGGAAAAGAAGGATATTATTAGTTGGGTTCAAGTCCCATATTAAGCATTTGTGTACAATAACAAGAACTACAACAACAATCATGCCGTTTCCCAATTTTTTGATCCTATGTTTCTATTCCGCTCTATTTAAGGCCATAACCTCAATCAATCCATACGCCACATTTCTTCCTTTACTAATTCAACCTACGTTAACTTTGTTATTCCTCTTCCCCTAGTATTATCCTCAATGTGGGTATTTGTGTATAACAACAACAGCCACGCCTTTTTCCAATTACTTGGTGTCGGTAACATGAATTCTATATTTTCATTGCACTCTATTTAAGGCTATAGCCTCAGTCAATTCACATGCTTCATATCTTTCTTTACTAATCTACCCACGTTAACTTTGGTTTTCCTCTTCCCCTAGTATCACTCTCAATATGGATTATGTTACTTTTCCTAACCGGCGCACTTAAAGTTTCTTTGCGCATCTCCAAACCATTTAATTAATTTTCTTGCACATTATCTCCAATTGGTGCTACTCCAAACGTCTCCTGTGTGTGATCATTTTTAATTATATCCTTTTTAGTCTTACTACACATCCAACTCAACATTTGCATTTTTGCCACACTCACTTTATGCAAATGTTGTTTTCTTACTGCCTAACATTCGGTACCATAAAATATGGCTGATCTAATAGTTGTTCTATAGAACTTCACTTTCAATTGTAAGGGGATATACCAATCACACAATAAACTAGAGGCACATCATCCCCAATTCCTCCCTCATAACGAATAATTGGACCTAAATAATGAAAATATTCACTTTTTGTACCTCTTGATTCTCAAGCCTATCTTTTCCTAAATTTACTAAAGTTACACTCTATATATTCAGATTTATTTCTACTTATCTTAACTCCTTTTAGTTCTAAAGCTTCTCTCCAAATCTCCAATTTGGCATATACTCCTTCTCTATACTTGTCAACTAAAATAATATCATCGGCAAATAACATAAACCACAGAATGTCATCTTGGATATGTAGCTCATCCATAATCAAGGCAAAAAGGTATGAACCCTTGATGTAAACCAACAATAATTGGGAATTCACTTGTATCTCCCATAGGTGTTCTAACTATAGTAACACAAACATCATACTTGTCCTTTATTGTGTCAATGTATCCCTTTTTGACTCTATTCTTTTCTAAAACCCTTCATATTAGGTCTCTAGGTGTATACCCTAACATAGGATTTCTCCAAATCGATAAAAATCATTTTGAGATATTTCTCTGTTTCTCTATATCTTTCCATTAGTCTCCTCAACAAGTAAATAACCTCCATCGTTGACCTACCACGCATAGTGGGCATTTGTGCGTGTGAGTATTTTACAAGAGAAAATTAAAAAGAAAATAAAAAGAAAAGAAGTATATGATAAAATTTAATTGATATGTGCCATGTGAGTATTTACCTAACCAAAAACGAAAAGAAACGAAAAGAAAAGAAGTATGATATAATTCAATTGTCAACCAAAGACAGTAGCTCAGTAGCACGTCCTCGCCTTTTAAAGGGAAAGGTCCAAGCTTCAAGTTCCATAAGGGCATTATATATAAATATAATCATGCATGGATGCAACAAAAAAGCCATAAAAACACATAATTATGGTAAAGAGGGAAGTTTTCTAGGAGTTGTACCCCATTGTCGAACTTGGCATCCCCAGCAAAAGATGCTCCATCACAATATCTAATCTTCACACGATTCCAATTGTAAAAATCTGCTCCATTCAAATCAAATGCAATAAGTTATTCATATAATTAATTCATTATTTTCTCCCAAATTAATCTCTAGAAATGATAAAGTTGAGAGTCATTTTCATGCACTATGCTGTCCATTGAACTGACAATTGGTCCCTACCAAGAAAGAGAAAAATAAAATGAAATCATATGATATAATAAAAAAAGAGAGCCGACAATAATCATGCCCTGATGGAAATCTGCAACCAATCTAGGCTGGCAAACCTTATCATTAGCATTTGTAAACTCATTATGCTGTCGAAAATATAGTTAATTAAGATTAAAGACTAAAGCACTTTTGAGTCTTTGACTGAAGTGTGAAGAAGTTTGAAACATTAACATTCAACCCTTCAAAAGTGATTGGGACCAATGCACAGACACTATGACATAATGTGCAATGGACTAAAATTCAAACCGAGAATGCTAATTCAAGAATTTTTTATCCATCGATACATATTTGATGCATCGAAAGAATAGAAATTTTCATCTAGCATTCTCGGTTAGACTCTTAGATTTAAGAATCTTTATCCATATGCCATTCTACGAAGTAGTCCGAGTAAGAAAATGGCCTTTTTTTCCTCCATCATTTGGTGTGATAATTTACAAGTCATCCGACTCATCCTTAGTGTAATAATACCCATATTTTTTTTTGTAGAAGCGTGTACAAAATAATGCTAAATATTAACATATGTGTTCCATCTTCACCATGCAATTCTCTAAAACGAAATGCAATTGCCTTTTTCTACACATGGCCCTAGGTTAAAAAGAAGAAACTTATGCTCCATTTGACCTTTTCTAATCTACATTATACGAAAAAAAAAAAAAAAAAAAAATTTACATGATCCAAGACAACATGGTCTTGGCCAATTACATGAAGTCATGTATGTAATTGTTAACTTTTTTTTGTAACCTTTTACTTAGTATCCCTCATATAATTCGTCGAAATCATGTAATCTGTGGCCACGTAATCTCAAAACATGTAATAATATCTCCAATTTAGAGTTGTGCCCAAATATAATAAGCATAGGCCATGTGCTAATTAAGGATCACTGGTTAGAGCAGGTGAGCCAGATCCATACAGATACAACCTTGTGTTTTGATCATTGTCGTCTTCTAGATTGGACTACGTCGGTGACTAAAGTATTAAAGAGTACATACATATAATTTTACTATATATATATATATATATAATAACATAAGAACAAGGGTTGAGAATCTGGGTGGGGACTTTAGGGGGCAAACACAGAAACTTGCTTTTAGTACATGCCAACTCAAATTACATTATGACCCCTCATTAGATTGACACAAGTTCACACGATCAAGAGAATGAGCAAATTATACAAGGGTGATTGTGTCCTTTCACAGTTCCAATGGCAAGTCGAAGTGTAGAACTGAAAGCTGGAAGTGAAATTCAGGAAGTAGAAAGTGAGGAATAGCTGTCAAGTTTCACCACAAGCCATTAATCACGTGAAAATGCACATTACATTAGATGTAGTGTGTGAGCTGCAGAGATGTGTCAATGTCATGCAGTAACACCTAATTTACCAGAACTACCCTTTTTTGTCCGCGAAAATGTAATGCTAATTGCTAGATTTTAGGCCATTGACCCATTAAGGTCCGACAACGATAGTAGTGGGATTACCAAATAATACCCGGACAAGAAGGGTATGAAAAAAAAAAAAAAAAAAAACCGTTAACAGTAAGCACATGAGGATTGATATTAGGTTCCGGAGGCATGGTCGTTTGGATCACAAATTTAAAGGGTCGTGAATTAGGATTTTGTGAATCTTACAGCGAGATTCACGGTCATCACAATTACGACTATAATTAGCAAATGTTGAGATTGTACAGTTGTAAATTAAGATTTTGAGAGTCTTACAATGAGAGTAGTCATCACAATTACGACTGTAGTTAGCATTCTCGAAAGCTATATTAAAATCAAATGGTTAGTGTTTTTTTTACAGTGACAGAAGAAAGATATAAGATGGTCTATGATGTACCTGGATTTAGAGAAGCATTGTTACTTAGGATTCCAGAGAAGACTTCCAACTTGCTCATGTAACGTGTGGAACCACGGCGCGTTGGGGCTCTCTCCAAGCACGATTTAATATCATTACACCACCCACCACCCTATTTTAAATTAATAAGTTCATGAATGTCAAATTAAAAAACATAATGCGTAACGGGGGACTAAATAATTTATACTGAGTAACCATTGTGGCCAATGACCAAATTCAAATCTCAATTTCGATAGAAATTAAAATTCAAACTAAAATTGAAAATAACACTTTCAAAAAATCTTATCAGTTGAGCTGTCAATACAAGTTAAAATACCAACATCATTCATTAAAGTGAGTCGGATTCATAATAAAATATATGTGAACCGACGCACACTCAATAAACGAGACGGACCAAGGATGCAATTTGCATTAGACATTCGTGACATTTTTTCAAATTAATAGTGACATTCAATAGTTTATCGCGTAGTCCCGGGGATAGACTTTGGCGGGTGTATCTCCCTTTCTAAGACGATGTGACACCACACAAGATGTACAGCCACACACAGCCCACGGCTCTGGAGTCTGGTGTGGTGGTCCATAGGCATGTTGATTCGTATTCTCAGCTAAGAAAGTCTAAGCATCCGCATTTGAAAATATAAGAGGACAGAGACTCCACAACATACTTTTCTCAAGCTTACCCTTTCAACTTAAAAAAAAAAAAAAAAACTAGTATTTTATATTTTGATAAAGACATTTGGAAAGAAAATAATAGCCTAATCAAATTTTTATTTTTATTTATTTATTTTTTTGCAATTGGAGTAAAAGTTCGAAGCCAGATTTTCAAAGATAACAGAAAGCAACCCAACCGTTGCGCTAGGTATTCATATTCAAAACAGTCATATAATATCATCTAATATCAAATATAACTCCCGATATAAATAAAAGTGATCATTTTATTCCATTCCGGGATATGATTTTGCATAAAATTGATATTATTATTTAATTTTAATTTTAATTTTAAATTTAAAATGATATATTCAAGGGTATTTTAGTCATACGTAGAGTAAGCAGGTTAGAGTGGGAATGAAATATTTAGATAACTTTAAAAAAATAAAATATGGGATAACTTTTACTTGTGGGGTTTATAATTTTACCCCTTTCCAATTTGAATTGCTATTTTTAAGACCCACACTACTTACTTTTACAGGCAATTGTTTCACGGCACACGAAGCATGCTAGATCTTTCTTTTGTCACTGTCATAACTTCCCATCACGGTGTTACAACTTGGAAGTTTGGTATATTGCATAAAAATAATAAATAAATAAATTCATAATTTTTGTGTTAGGTTTGCTTGGTGGAAAGAATTTAGCTGGTCCCTATTATACTTTATTGAAAGGAAAAAATTAAATGGTAGGAAGGAAAGAAATAATGAATAAGACATCCATATGAAAGAAATAGTGTATTTTCTTATTTTTATTCGATACTATGTTTGTTAGGAGAAAAAAAAAAGAAAAAATTATAATTATTTTTATTATTATATTCAATAATATTTATAATATTGTATGATGGTATTGTAATTTAAAACTTGTATAATTTAGAATTGTAATTTAAAATTTGTATAATTTAATATAATATTTAATTTAAAAGTTTTATAATAATTCCTCTTTTATTCCACCAATTTTTAGATGAATGAGAATTTGTAAAGGAGGAATCTTTCCTATTCACTTTTTTAACTTTACATCATTTCTATCAAACAAAAAAATTCATTCTTTCATTTTTTTCTATTTTTTCTTCACACCTCTATACAAATTTTACTACAAATAAAAATTTGTAACAAAAATGGCAGTACGAAAATGCTGAAAGCTCCATATTAATGTGGTGTAAAGTCAAATTTAAAGTCCTAAAAAAAAAAAAAAAAAAAAAAATGCAATTAGCTCCAAGTAAATGTAGTGAAAAGTAACACTAATTTATTTCTAATTTAGTGTTAGAAAAGGATTTTGACCCATAGTATAAAAAAATATAATAATAATAAAAATTTGAGACACTCACATTTTCTCTAGTTTCAATGGATTAATTTAGCAGTATTTTTTCTTCCTTCAAAACCAAATGGCGGAGTTTCAAATCAGCAAAGAGTATTGGGTGAATTCTTTATAAAAAATAAAAAAATTGAATATTTAAATATAGATATTTCTAATTATCACGCGCGCGCACACACACACATATATATAATCGGCTGACAAAGTGCATATAATAAAGACGAATAATTCATTAAATAGGGGACAGCACTGTTTGGCAAACATGCCCCACCTTGGCCGCAATCCAAAAGGGTAGTAGATGTACTTTGAGACCTGATATAGTGTGTTCCAAAATACATCAATTCTATCCAGTTTCACTATTAATACATCAACACGTAGTCAAATTCGTCGATTTTTAAACAAGCGTTTATCAAGTCACTGACGTGTCATACTATGATTGGTAAAAAAAAGAAGCAATACTGTATATTAACACACACAATAATTACCTCAAACTGCAGTAGCCAATTGCGTGATCCGGCGCCAAATCCTCTGTGAAGATGATAAGCAGGCAAGCTTCCATCCAAGCAAACTACGAGTGTATATATATATGTATAGATATATATATATCAATATATATATAAACAAAAAGAAAAAGAAAAAGTAAGTGTGTGTGTGTATATATATATATATATGTATGTATGTATGTATGTATATATATATGTATGTATGTATGTATGTATATATATATGTATGTATGTATGTATATATACAGATGAATGGAAGTACAAATCTGGTTATGATTGAAGGCTTACAAGCTCCATGAGCCGGAGCGTTGCGAACCAGAGTCATGTTCACCAGAAGCCGCTCCTCCGCGTAAACGCACCATGACGCGCACGTTAGCAAAACCAGGTTCATCGCAGCTCTCAATTTCATTGTCATTTTTTCCGTGAACTTTCAAAGCCACTGGTCGGTTCGAATCACAAGACTCTGTTCGTATTCTTCTTCTTGTTGGAGAACAAAGAGAGAGAGAGTTGTGTTGGATTTGTGTTTTCAAAATATGAATTCGGAGGTTTTATAAAGGTGAGAGATACCAAAAATGAGTAATTAAATTTAAGCACTCAATCTGTTAAATATATATATATATATATATATATATATATATATATATAGTGTTTTGTCTTTTTTAGGGAAATGAAATTGATAAATATATCGATTCAAAAGCACTCAATCTGTGTGATGTAACAGTTGATCGAGTTTGTAAATTGTAACCCAAAAATATAAAATCTATATTAAAAGAATAAATTAGAACTAAATGCTGAGAAATAATTAACTACAAAAATAATTGAAAATCAAATGTATATATGCAAAAAAGAGAATTGCGATATCCAATAGATTTAAAATCCTAGAGAGAGAGAATTGGTAGTGAGACTTTAGAGAGAGAGAATTGGTGGTGAGAGTGTTGTAATTTATAGTATTTCGTTAGATTTTGATTTTGTGTGTAGTGGGAAGGAGAGAAGTGTAAATGTGTAAATAATAGGGTATGGTGATTGGCCAAGAAGCAAAGGTAAAAGCCTCGTGAAAATGGGTTTATATATGTGGGACCCACAGCATTCAATGATGGAATGGACGATGATGAGTGGTGGTGGACTACTGTTGGTGATGGAGATGTGTATTACAAGTCATGCTATAACTAACTTCAGTTTTGGTTCGGTTGGTATCCACTTGCCCCTTTGACGAATCACTTCGTGTTAGGCCGTTCCGTTGAAACTTTGGAACAGATAGATGACCTGTCCGTGATTAGTGGTGCCATAGCATTGCAATATTTATAATTAAGAAGAATATATATTTACGTGATATTCCCGGTAAGGGGTGTGAATGATCTGGTTTGGTACGGTTTTTGGCGGAATTGGAACTGAAATTGTCCCTAACAAGTTTTAAAAATTAAAATCGAAATTGAACACGTCAAGACATGCATTCTGATCGAAACCGATTCCATAGTTCTAGTTCCTCATTATTCCCTCTAATTAGGGTTTATGACGCTTCTCCTGTATTTTACATTATCAGAGTTACTTTCTTTTTATATTTTTTTGTTTTTCGTTTTGGGTAAGTGAGTAAATTTAGAAAGAAAAAAACTCTACAATATACAAGGGCATACTCAGGGTCAACACAAAAGGCCCATTGGGCAGGGCAAAACAGTAGGAATGCTAAGGGCAGTCAGCCAATTAAGCCACCATCCTTTTACGATCGCTCTCCTGATTAAGTGCCTGATGAAAGCGCTTTTAGTAGTACAACTATTATTAAACTGTTGTCATTAAAAAAACTTGTTATGCGATGATTCATTATATAAAGTATTTTTTTATACTTAAATCACTTTTAAATTTATTTGGTAAAAATGTTACTTAAAGCACTTTTACTACTAAATTTATTAGTAATATCTGTCTTATATATGTATTTTTCCATTCTATATAAGATTAATTCTTGCTTATAAAATTAAAAAAAATAAAACATCATTAGTACTTATGTTTTATGAAATTTAAATTGTATAAGATTCAAGATATTGAAGTTTAGTTTGACTAATTATAACTTGATTTTTTCATGAATATACTAACTACTATTTTATGTGACTTTAATTTTAAATAAAGCTAACCCAAGAATGAAATCCAAATTTTTTTTTTTTTTTTTTGGTCTTATCTGGCCATCAAGACGCTTCTTTGGATATACTTTGCACATTTTAGAACTTAACTGCCGATAGGTATTGTAAAAATGAACTCACCTAATAAATATGAAATAATCACAATCAGAATAGATGTTCCAGAAATTATATTGAACATTTTTGTCTTATCTGACCATCAAAACCCTTCTCTGGATATACTTTGCACATTTTAGAACTTAACTGCCGATAGATATTGTAAAATGAACTCACCTAATAAATAGGAAATAATCACAATCAGAATAGAAGTTCCAGATATTATATTACTTATTTTTTTAACCCATAAAATAGAATTTACAAAATACTCAAATAGACTAGACGAAGAAGATTTCCAATATAGCTACAAGTCTTTTAATTTTCTTTGGTTCCTAGTTGGATGATGGTAAAACTGAACTAAACTTCTAGTAAACAAAACTTCTAATATAATTTGAATTTCTAATATTAGATTTTTAAGGGGCGATCCTAGATACGGTAACAATAATAGTAGTGGTGCAGATGACAGATATGTGACAGTCCCAGACAACACAAATTGATTTGCATAATCATTATATATTCTTTTTTATATTAGGGATAAAATTGTATTTTACAAAAAATAAAAAGGGATTAAATTGTCTTAAAAAAAATATAATTTCCTAAAAAATCTACCTCTACCAAATACGAATTCTAAAAGCATATTATTTGTAGCTTCACCTAAATGCTTTTTATCAAACCTCTACTACCTGAACGCACTTATCTTTTTCACCAATCACATCTCACCGCAATTTTTATAATTGAAAGTGTTTTTTAGTAATAGAAAAGCAATCCCAAACGAGCACTCTTTTTGTATTGCAAGGAACATGAAAAATATAAACAAAACTAACATTTTAAAGGTAAAACTACCTTTAAAGCCTTTTCCATTACTTTTCTTATATTCCTACAATCTTATTTTTATTTTTATTTTTCTTATATTCCTACAATCTTATTTTTATTTTTATTTTTTTCCTAATTGGTACTCACACACACATGCCTCCATTGAGGTTCGAACCCCTAACTTCCCTTTGGGAAGTAGGAGCCTGATACTGTTAGGCCACAGGCAGGTATAAACAACTAATCTTAGATTTTTTTCAATTATTGCCACTATTTTTTTTTTTTATACACATAATATACTTTAATGTAGATTTTTATAATTGTTAAATTTTAATTAAAATAAAAGTATAAAATTAAATTTTAGTTGAAGTAAAATTGCAGAGAAGATAATCTAGTTTAGTAAGTAATAAACTTCATAGCAGTAAATCAGTTGTTTGTGTATATATTACACGCGTATATATGTGAAGAGGATTATTTTTGTCTAAAAAATATTATGTTTTTAATGTCTTTACAAAATAGGAAACAAATATTTAATAAAACTTAGAGTAGCCTAGGAGTAGAGCGATTGTGAAAGTGACTATCCGTAGCACACCTCAAGTCTCATATTATGACAAGCCCAAAACAATAGGAGTCCAATTCATATGCAACAACTATTTTGTAAATTGTAAAGGTTGTCAAAAGTGTACCGATGAAGGCAAAACTTGAGTTTGATTGATCGGGCATATCAACGACATTGAAAGTGTGAGATATATATTTTGTAATTAGCTAATTTCGTTGTCAAAACAAGTCTAATCGAGTTATAATTTTTCGGTTCATAATTTCAAAGATTGAAAATCGGATGCGAATTTGAAGAAGTTTAAGTGTTCATGATATACTACACCCCGAGATGATGAAAACAATGCTTTAGGAAGATTGAGAGGTAGTGAGAACACATTGGGAGTTTTGAAAGTTTTTGAGGAAGATTTTACATTCTGTCCATTTTGAACTGGTTTCCAAAAGTACTGAACAAGTTCAAGAGTCAAAGAGAGCCTTCAAAATTATTTCTGGCGTTCTTAAACCGGTTCCAACTTTCTTGAACCGGTGCAAGACTTTTGAAAGGTTATGGAAACTTACCTTTCTTACTATGTTTGATTCCTTTTTGGACTAGACTTCTTTCCAAGTCCTATGCACGAAATTTATCATATTTTCTAAGGGATTAGGACTTTCTAAACTCTATATACACCTTGTCATACACATTGGTTGATTCATGACTTTAGGGATCATCAATTATATATTTTGAGAAAGCCTTTTAGAGAGAGAAAATTCAGAAAATCAAATCTGGTTGTTTTGAATTTATTTTTGAGAGCACACACATATATTCATGAGTGATTTAGTTGTGTTCTCTATCTTATTAGAATTGGAGCTATATTGAAGATTTAGAGATTCCGTATGAAGAGCAGGATTTAATTCTTCTACATCGAGTTAAGATCTTGAAGAACAGAAGTAAAAGCGATCACACTTTGAAAGGGTTGGAGTATTTGAGGAGTGTTGTCTGATCTACCTATTACTCTTCTACAAATATCAACATAAGCCTGAGGTCAAGTTGCTGTTGGACGGGGAGTCGTAAAGCTAGAGGATTGTCAGCAATCGGTATTTGGTAGAACGATAGGGTGTGAGCTAGAGTCAAAATTCGGTATACTTTATTTCAAACATAGTAAATCGGTTTACTTTCGACTGAATAGTCCATGAGTTTTTCCCATACAAACAGTTGACGTATTTTATCAACTGAGGTTTTCTCGCTAAAAATCCTGGTGCAATCTCTCTAAACTTTTACTTACTTTACTTTACAATATTTATATTTATGATGTTTAAATTGATCATATAATTTAATCAATCATAAATTGTGCAAGTTGACCTAATAATCAGATCTAGGTCATTAAATGAGTTAATCATAATTAAAATCAACTATCTATTTTCGTACCCTGCGTAACTCCATTTTCACATAGAACATCATTATTGGGCAGGGCCGACCTTCAGATTCTCAAAATTTTTAGAGGTTTTAGGCGAACTTTTAAATCTGAGGCTCTTTAGACACAAGGTTTCACACGAGTAAAATTTTTTTATAATATTGTAGAATTTTCGTGAATTTATAATATTGTAGGAAAAAAAAAAAAAAGAGAGAGCACAATCCAGTTTACATTACAAAATTAAAAGGAAATATTCAACACAACTTAGTTACAAAAATCAAAATTCAACTTCATATCAAAGTAAATGTGATCGTTTTACATTTTGAGCTTTAAAATGATCAATCAAAGTGATCCAATCAAGTTTCTCCAACATAACATTCTTAATATTTTGACTGAAATGTTAGGCCTAATAATCATTTTCCTACGATCCAGTTTACATCACAATAATAAAATTTATTTCATATTTTCTATACATGGAAAACTTGCCACATTATAGTAGTACTGTTGTGGTTTTCTTACCATGTTCTTAATCTTGGCATCCAACTAGCTTTAGCTTTAGCATCTTAGCCCTCCATCACGTGCTATGTTTGGTACTTGTTAATTTATTATCCAAATTTATTTATTTATTAATGGTTGTAACTTGTATTTGGAACCTATTGGATGTGTATTTTGTTCAGAATTGAAATCAGTTGAATGCCAATTTTAGTATGTAGAATTTGTAGAACACTATGACTATTTGGAAAGGCTTCACTTATGTAACTACTTTTTATATCAATCATGAAACATTATCAATTTATTTAAGTTATGTTGCCCTACATTAGATACATTATTAGATTTTAATTTCATGTTTATAAGTAAATTACATTTGATTGTGAGATTACTCCAAAACATGGGCAATTCACTCTGTTTCAGACAGAGAGTATCACGACTCTAATTTATTATTGTGGTTGTTTCTCATAAGTTGTCTTTTTTAT